ACCTAGCCAATGCCACCTTGGCAGCTCCCACATATAAAGCTCTCTGAGCTCCGTGGAGAACTGCTGGAAAGCCCTGGAACTTCCTAGGCAGACTTACCAATATCAGAACTGGCAGCCACCAAAACACTGCCACCACCATCGATGAAGGCGCTGATGGTCTCCACATTGATGTTGCCTCCAAAATCTGAAAGAAGGCCCCAGACACAGTGACCAGACAGTCCTGTCCCCACTCCCTGGCTACAGGATGGAGGTAGGGGACCCTCTAATGCAGCCATAGTTGATTTGAGTGGGTTCCCATGGATCCAGAAATGAGAGGCAATGTAAATCCACCACAGCTGCCGCACGGCACACACCTGTGTACTCAAAGGAACGCTCAAAGCATTGCCTTGGTCATTCAGGTGCAATTACCAAACACATCCTAGTGACATTTGTTGACATATTCCAAGCCACATCTATTCAACCTGAAATACTGCACTTTCTACCCACACTCCAGAGCAATGCTGTCCAAATGCTCACACGCCTCCAACACCCATGGCCTTTGCTATCACTGGCTCCGTGCCTGGGGTCACCTTACAGCAGTCTATTGATGTCACTCCCCCTGAGCTGTTTGAGAAGGCACTGCGGAACCCACAGGTGACACTGCCACTGACCGTAAGGCTCACTGGGCTGACACCAACCGGCTTCCTTGTTCACATTCCCCACAGCAGAACCATCCAGACCTTCCACATCACCCAAAGGGCTTGTGGGTTCCCAGCATTTGAAGGATGAAAGTCTACCTTGTGCTGTTCAGTTCATTAGTAACTAGCCACTGCTGCCACCAGCCTCCAAACTAGCACCAGGTGGGGCTTGAGCTCTAGAGTTATCGCCAGAGTGAGTCTGGCGTTCAACAAAGGACAATCCGCTTACCTGCGAACTATTTCTATGGACTGGGAAGAAAAAACAGGACAATGAGGGAAGGGAGTCATTGTGCCAAGGTTGGTGAGGAGAGCCTTCAACCAGAGACACATGAGAAGTTGGAAGGGTGGGTCGGACAGCAATAGCATGCAGGAAGAGCAAAGAGCTCACAGGCAGAGTAAACAACAGGTGTGACGTCTGCCAGGTAAGGTGAGCCTCAGGGCTGGACCAGAGACCAGCAGTGAGGCGGGGTGGTCAGCTATTGGAAGGCTTGGGCTGGTGGGGCCCACTGGAGAATTGTGAGGAGAATAACGTGACTTCCTTGGTTCCAAGGTAGAGGTGGGTACAAGTGGCCTCGGTGTCAGAAGGTACTATGAGGCCACACTGTGAAAATATTCCTAGACCAGAAGTATGTGATGGGGAGTTCTTCTAATGGGACCTGAAGGGAAACAGCAGGAGCTGGGGCAGAGGTGGGGGCATTCTGGACAGCTGGAAGAACCCACTCTTGTGTGAATTACAGAATACAAAGTAGTTGCCAGGGCAATAAAAGCCATCCATGTGTCAAAAACTGAAAGAAGGATGGCAGGGACCTCTTACCCCAGACAGGAACGACCTGAGTCTTTTGACACAAAAATGAAATGGAAAGACTATCTACCATGCTCACCAAAACAACAAGGCAAAAGAAACGGCCAAGGCTGGAAAGATGGCTCAGTGGTTAAAAGCACTGGCTGCTCTTTCAAAGAACAGGATTAAATTCCCAGCAGCTCACAAGTGCCTTCAATTTCAATGCCAAGGAAGCCATCACCTTCTTCTGGCCTCTGGAGGCATCAGGCATACACATGGCGAGACACACAAGCTGACCAAACACCCATACAAGCAAATAAGAAATACCCAAAGGAGCTGGAGATATCTAGCCAGATGAAGACAGGTGAGCAGGCTACAGCTATGTGAAAGCCACGCAGCTCCGCAGGATAAAAATGAGACCCCACCCCACCCCCATCATCTGCTCTTAGTCTAGGAACACCAGACTCTCAAGCCCGGGAGACTTGTAATCTTATGATCAACCACCTGCAGAAAGGCTTTTTACAGCAATCCGTGTTAATAACGGGGCAATTCTTTGTACACAAGCAAGTCAAATCAGGAGCTTCTTTATCAGAGTCTTTGTTCGACAAAACCTCCTTCCCCATACAGTGTCTATCTTTTTGAAAGATAACGGCTCCAAGGCCCAGGCTGGAATTAACATTTTCCTCTCCTGAGTTTCAAAACTCATCCCGAGACCCGGAACATGCCCAGGAACCACAAGAAGACAACGGAATCCTGCACCTCGAATCCCAGCCAGTCCTGGGGGCGCCGCGCCGCCCTTACCTTCCACGGAGGGGGAGAAGATGATGAGGTTGTCATAGAGGAACTCTCCGTACTTAATGAGGGACAAGCTAGGGTCATCTGCGGTCTTGAAGGTGAGCTCAAAGGCCCGGTCTGGAGAAGAAAAGAAGGAGTTAGAGCAGATGGTCAGCAGAGGAACCCTGGCTGCTCCGGCGGAGGGTGCAGCTACCCCAGGGCTTCCCAACCCCGGCCATGCCCTCGCCGCGGCGCTCACCCTTCAGGCTGCGGAAGAACATCGAGTGCGTGTCCCGCACGTTGAGGTTGTCCAGCAGCACGAGGGTTCGGGGGCCGCTGGCACAGACGCAGGAGAGCGCAGCCAGCAGCAACCCACAGAGGGGCCAGGCACGAGTGGCGAGGCGGGGATCCATCTTCATCTTCCAGTCGGAGAGGCGAGCACCTGGACACCGGAAGTGTCCTTCGTGGCCGCCCAATGGCCGCTCGAGGCGCTGGAGTATCACCTAGAAGTGGTCCGGGTACTCTGTGGCCCCGCGGCCCATTCCGCGGCGGGGACGGACTGAGAAACGGTGAACGCCGCCGGAAGTGCCCCATCGGAGGTTCATCCTCTGCACTTTATTGGAGGAATGTGCTTGAGGCTCCCCCTCCCCCAGGATAGATGACCAATCCAAGAGAGACAGCTCCGTAGCTGCGGCCAATCAACAAAGCCGGGCGCCCTTCGGCTTCTCCCGTACCGGCTCCCGCCGTGGGTCTCAAATCCACCTAGTGCTGAGGGTCTCTAGGGTTTACGTTTCTTTCATAGGCTGTTGTTCCTGGTCCCCTTGGACACGATTGTCGCCACTTGGACGAGATCGGGTCGGGGATGTCACCTCCTCGTCCGTCACTGGTCTAGAGGGCTAGGAAGCAGGCCCTTCCCTAGAGGGAGCAATGGGGTGGGACGTAGGCTCCTGGCCTCGCCCCAAACACAAGGGATGGCACAGGTCTAAAGGCTAAAAGGCTTGTCACACCCAGAATTGGTGGCCCATGCCTTTAATCCCAGCTCTCAAGTGAGAGGCAAAGGCAGGCGAATATTTGTGACTTTGAGGCCAGGCTGTCCTACGTAGCGAGTTCAGGCCTGTCAGGAAAAGGGAGAACCGACTCCTACAAATTGTCTTCTGACTTACACACGGACACCAAGCCAAGACAAAAATAAAATTTAAAGGGCGAGGACTGTAATTCAGTGGGTAAAATGCTTACCTAGCATGCATGAAGGCCTGGGTTTGACCACCAATATATAAAACCAGGCATGGTGGCCCGCCCACGCCTGTAATCTCAGCACTAAGCAGCAGAGTAATTAGTTCAAAGTCATCCTCAGCTACCTAGCAAGTTTAAGGCCAGCCTGGGCTCTATGAGACCCTGTGTCGATATAAATCGATCTTGATATAAAAATTTAAAAACAGGAAAAAGATTCTTGCTCCTCACTTCTCTGCAGCCCAAGCCCACCACCCGCTGACACTGACTCTAGGGGCGTGCCACTCACTGCTCAGGACACTTTTGGGTCTCCACCTCAGCTCATCTCCACACTGCCATTACCCTCTGCTCCCTGCTCTGAGCCCCACCAGCCTTTAGCACATACGCCCTGAGTGGCCCATCTCCTGCTTGCTGTTCTTTTTGCTTCCTCCACCAGAGGTGCCGGCCCTCCACAGGATCCTAGGAGAGATCTAGGATCTTCATCCCTGGGGTGGGTGGAGGGCGGAGCTCTGCTCCCATAGAAACCTGAGCAGCTTTCCCTGATTGGTTCCACTGCATTGGCCTTTGGTAGCCTCACCACAACCCTGGCTTCTGCAGTGAACTCCTTGGCCCAGGGGTAAAGCCTTGGGCCAACCACAGTAGCTGATATAAAATGAGGAGGGCGGCAGAATGGGGGGAACCGGGGCTAGCTCAGTGCTACCTTCTCTAGCCCTTCACAGAACACCATGAAGTGGGTGCTTCTCCAGTTGACAGAGGTGATGTCCCTGTTTGTGGGCCCACCCAAAGGGGAGGGCTGTCGTAGCCTCTGGATAGAAACAAATGACAACTGGATTCATTTCTGGCTATGTCGGGACACCCAGTTCCAGAGCAGGCCCCTGAAGACTACCTGGGCGGGAGAGGAGGTCACAGCACAGGCTGCACAAGCTTGAGTTCGCTCCCTAGTACCCACAGTGGAAGGAGGGGAGGCAGCCATTCCTGGGAGCCATTATCTCCCCTCCACATCCAAATATCATGACATGTGCTCCCTCAACCAGGCACACACAATATCGGGGGGATGCTTGGTGGTTGCCGACATAAAGAGGGCTGCTTAGTGGGTAGGGACACTTGCCGACAAGCCTGACAACCTAGAGTCCCTGAGACCCACATAGTGGAAGGAAGGAACTGACTTCCGCAGGTTGTCCTCTGACCCCCACATGCACCCCATGCCCCGCCACTAAATAATAAGTAAATAGACAAATAAATATTTAAAAAGAGAAGAAAAAGGCCCAGGCTGGGGAGATAGCTCAGTTGGTGAAGTGCTTGAGGTTGCTCTCGATCTCCACAGGCACGTGTGAGGGCACAAGTGTGTGTTGTGTACACTACAACCCAGGTCACTTCTGCCTCAGCAAGACATGGTTCTGTTTCTATAGTCACTTCTGCTGCTGGTGACAGAAGCCTTGGAGCTGCTGGCTTGCAGCCTGAGGCAGTGGTCAGGACAGTCACTCTCCAGGACAGCAAGGGATGAGGGCAGGAAGCACCAGAGGGTTGGGGAGGGGAGCTTATTCTAAAAGGCAGTTTATTGGGCAGCTTATTGTAAAGCACCTTCTTTGGGTTGTGGTCCAGCCAATAGGAGGCCAGACATAGTAGTTGGCTCCGGGTCTCCATCTGTGTCTCAGAGAGGCCTGAAGCTTAGTCAACCAGATGTTGAGCTTCATCCTCGTCCACAAGGCAGCTTCTGTGCTCAATGCTGAGGATGCTTGTAAGGCCCAGCGGCACCTGAGCCCATGGAGGTAGACCCACACCGGCCAGTGTAGGCTCTGCGGCAGGAAGTCAGTGGGGCCTTGCTGCTCTGCACAGCTGGAGCAGGCCTCTTCGGGGAAGGGTAGCCCAGCCTCCATAGAGCTCAGGCCCTGGGCCAAAGTGAGTTCTCGAGGGAACAGGGAAGGGAATGGGTCTTCCCAGGCTCAGATCCCCATAGGCTCGGGGACACTGTGGAGAGGAGGCCCATTTGAGGCTTCTTGGGGAGGACTTGGAAGTTTCTAGAAGCCAGAAGACAGGTAGCAGCAGGCAGCTGGATCACAGAGGCTCACCGCCAAAGCTGCTTTTGCTTTTCTTACGCTTGGCTTTGGCGAAGGGGATGTCGAGGGACTCCAGGCGGAAGGGCCGGGGCTGGGGCATCTCGGGGGTCTGGGTGGGCGGCATGGCAGAGTTGTTGCTGAGAGGCGAATTGAGCCCTGGGGGTGAGTTGTGATGTGCTGTGGACAAGAGGCAGGGACACCAGTGAGCCAGGACAGCAATCATGCAGAAGGCAGAGGTCTGGCAATCCTCACCCTGGGCCTGAGGCCCTGCTTCTGCAGCTAGGACCTCTCTGAGGCACTCTGCTGAGACGTCAGACCTAATATCCCTTCTGTGTCCAAAGGGTCCGGGTTAGAGGACTGGAATTTAAAATTCCCTAACTGAGGTTCCAGCCTGGTACCTAAGGCAGCTGAGCCTGGACACAGGTTCAGCCCAGCACTTGCTACCAGTGTCGGCTCTTAGGTCTCAGTTTCCTTATCTGTCACTTGGACAGGTCAGGCCCTCAATAAATTCTCATTTCTTCCCCCTCCCATCCCATCCCATCCCACCCCACTCTGCCTCTGCTTTAAGTTTAGAAATTGTAAAAAAATGGGGTTGGAGAGATGGCTCAGTGGTTAAGAGCATTGCCTGCTCTTCCAAAGGTCCTGAGTTCAATTCCCAGCAACCACATGGTGGCTCACAACTATCTGTAATGAGGTCTGGTGCCCTCTTCTGGCCTGCAGACATACACACAGACAGAATATTGTATACATAATAAATAAATAGATAGATAGATAAATATTTTTTTAAAAAAGAAAGGAATTGTAAAAAATGTAATGTCATGGCTGGAGAGATGGCTCAGCAGTTAAGAGCACTGGCTGCTCTTCCAGAGGACTCAGGTTCAATTCCTAGAACCCACATGGCAGCTCACAGCTGTCTGTAACTCCTGTTCCAGGGGCTCTGATACCCCCATACAGACACACTTGCAGGCTAAACACCAATGTATATGAAATGAAATAAATAAATTACTTAAAAACTTTAATATCAGTTTTTAAGAATTATTTATTTAATACATGTGGGTGTTTTGCCTACGTGAATGTGCACTATGTGTGTGCAGTGCTCACAGAGGCCAGAAGAGGGCATTGGATCCCCTAGAACTGGAGTTACAGAAGGTTGTGAGTAGCCATAGTGCTGGGAACTAAAAACCCGGTCCTTCCTCTGCAAGAGCAGCCAGTGCACTCTCCACTGAGCCATCCCTCCAGCCCTATGGTTTGCTTTTAATGGATATATTACTGGAAGCCCTGTGGGTTCTGTTTTTTTTCCAAAATTCTATTACATTAATTGATTGATTGATTCCACAGTGCCTGTATGGAGGTCAGAGAACAAACCGCAGAAGCCATTCCTCTTCCTTTCACCACATGGGGCCTGAGGATCAAACTCGGGCTCTCGGGCTGGGTGGCAAGCACCTTTATCCTGCGAACCATCTCATCTTCCCGTTTTTAGTTTTAAGAGAGTGAAGTGATTTTTCCATTCTTGGAACTGTTTTGCCCTGAGGACTTTGCCATAACTGGTCTCAAACTCCCTTTGTATCCAAACGTGATCTTGAACTGCTGACCCCTCACCCCCACTTCCCAAGTGTGGGATGTCAGGCAAGTATCACAAGCCTGGTTTATGCAGTGCTGGGGATTGAACCCAGGGCTTTGTGCATACCAGGCAAGCACTCTGCGGACTGAGCCACGCTCCCAGCACTCCTCGGTTCTCTCAGGTAGTCATCATAGCAATGAACACTGACTGACATAATCACCTACTCTATGGTCCTATTTTCCCAGCTCATCTGCTCTGACTCTGAGAAGTGGGCGTCATGCTCCTCATTTTACAGCTGAGGAAACTGAGGCTGCCTAAGTCATCATCAAATTCATCCCCGTGGCATACTTCCCAGTGGGTGTGGAGGGGGGGAGGCCCCAGTGGGCAGGGCACTCACTCAGACTCTTCATGGGGTCCGTACTGAGAATCTGGCTGGCCCGCTTGGACCGGAAGTAGTTGCTAGCAATATTTTCACTGTCGCTTCGACTGAGCATCAGCTTATACCGGTCTTCCTCCTGCTGAGATTTCAGAGCCTCCTAAGTGACAGCCCCTTGTCTATGCAGCCACTGTGTGCCGTACCCTGGGCTCAGGAGCTTCTGGGCGTGCGTGGTACTATGCCATGCTGGGCATCTCCTGGGCTGTATCACTCACAGGACCAGGGTAGGGACCCTGGCAGCTTGGACCAGGGAGGTCACGGCCTCCTCTCACCTCCCTTGACATGGGGAAGGGGGCCCATGTTCCTTCCTACAGCATTACTAGGGGCAAGGGTGACAGATACTGTGTGGCCCAAATCCCTCCATGGATACACAATCCACAAAGCCTCGACTGTCAGCTCCCTTTGTGGCCAACACATCCTCACTGTCCCTCCCTGGGAAGGCTCTTTTTCACAACTGCTGAGATGGGCTTATTTTCCTCAGTCTGACTCTTTTGCACCGGAACTATTTCCTCCCAACCCAGTGGGGAGAGAAATCACAGGGCTAGATGTAGGACCCAGATTTGCACCAATCACAGAGTTACGTCATCCTGAAGAGAGAGCAGGTGTGTGACCAGGGAGAGCCAATCTCAGCCTTTCCAAAAGCTTGGGTGTGTGATGGCTTCAGGCAGCAGTTCTCAGCCTTCATCTAGTTCATGCTGTGGTGACTCCCAACCATGAAATTATTTTTATTGCTACGTCGTAACTATAATTTTGTTTCTGTTATGAATCGTAATGCAATGCGGGGTCTCTGATATGTGACCTCCACATGGGTCACAGCCCACAGGTTGAGAACCATTGACTGAAGGGACGATATCTTTCTTCCTTTTGGATCTTAACTACCAGCAGTCACCGCTGCTTGCCTTTTCGTGGGGGAGAAAGCCTGAAGCTAGCTAGCTCAGAGGCAAGGATAAAGGGCAAAGCCAGGCACAGAACTCTGACTGAGCCCCAAGATTCAGCCATGCTTGAAACTGATCCACCTACATGGGTCAGTGAGGTCTCTATATTGTGTGTGACACCTGTCTCTTGGAACTAAAAGTGTTCGACGGAACTTCTCTGTAGTTCCAGGGTGAACATGTTTTAAGCGTTTTCTCTCTTAGGAAGTTAAGTCACCGAGGTAAACTGAGCCTTAGGTTAGCAGGAGGCACTGAAGGTGGTTACCACAGACTCTCCCTTTGGTTAGTACTTTTAAATGAGAGGCTACCTGAGGGTCCAGGTGCCTACCATAGTGGTAGAAAAGGGTCTAGGCTCAGCATCTAAGGAGCCTGAGGCTTCGCTGACTTGCAGCGCTTAGTGGACAACCCCCCCCCATTCCCCAGCCCCACTCTCTATTCCTCCCTTCCACCTGGGGCCTCACCATGTGCGGTTCGCCGTTGTCCACTGCAGAGGTTTTGCGGGCTGGCTTGTTCTGTGGCCCGGTTGGAACTGCTATGAGAAAACAGAAACTGAGGAGCTAGGCAGAGAGTGCAGGAGGAGGAGCCCTGCCTGGGGCGGGGAGGGTCAGGCTGCCTGAAGGCTGGAAACAGGGAATGCTTCCCAGTTCCCCTGGGATGAGGAGGAAACAGACAGCAAGAGGACCCAGATACAGAATGCCCACATCGCTGGTCCAGGCTGGACACCAGGAGAGGAGGACTGGGAGAGGCTGCAGCTACCCAGAGCTCATGGGAAATGGAGCTTGCTGGAGTTTTAATTGACTGACTGGTGTCTATTGCTACCTGTCACTTCAGAGATGGAGGTGTAAATAAATGGTGACCAGGAAAAGGACTTCAGGGTGCCACTTAGGAAAGTAGACACACACACAGACACACACACAGACACATACACACACACACACACACACACACACACACACACACAGAGGCACGCACACACATGCATGTACAGAGACACATATGTCCACATGGTGGAAACAGATCCTCAGAAAATCTGACTTTACTCTGAGGCTCATCAGAACTGGATAGGTCCTTAAGGTCATCTGATTCAATTCTCCTCCTTTGTTAAGCTTGGAGAGGGACAGTGATCTCCACAAAATCACACAGGAAGTTAAGGGCCCAAGCACAGGCAGAACCATGAACAGCTGGTGTATATCCATGGTCTTAGCATAACTCACTGATCTGGTTGGAACTTGATCCTATAAGGCTCAGTTTAATTTTTCTTTGCTTTGGTTTTGTGGGCTTCACTTATTTGTTTCTTATTTCGTGCGTGCGAGAGTTTTGCCTGTATGCCTGCATTGCAGTATGTGCGTGCCCAGCGCCCACAAAGGCCAGAGGAGTTACTGCCAGTGGGAACTGCCAGATGTGTGTGCTGGAAGCCAAACTCTGGTCCTCCGTGAGAGCAGCATGTCCTCCTAACTACACAACCGAGCCAGCACTCCAGCCCGTTTTGCTTTGTTCTTGAGGCAGAGTCTCGCAAATACCAAGCAGGCCTTGACCTTGCTGTGTAGTCAAGGAGATAATTGAACTGACCCTCCTGCCTCCACCTCCCAAATGCTGGGATGCTGGGCATGCACCACTATGCCCTGTTTTAATCCAGTTTTAATCACAAACCTTTGTGGGACTCAGGACGGAATGACAATAGTGACAGAACCAAGCTCCCCTCTGTGCCAGGCAGAACTCTAAGGCATTTACATGTCTGAGCATACCACAGACCTCACAGCACCTTTAAGGAAGGCGCTGCCATTTATTCCCACGTCACAGACGACTGTACCACAGAGGTCACACAGCCCCCACCTGTCTGCCTCCAGAGCACACCACCTTCTCAGGGCCCCAGTGATTGGATCCTCAGGAATACCATGTCTGTTGCACCCACAGCTTGCAGGAAGAGGCCAGGCTTTGTCCCTCTGCAAGGTGGCCAGCTGTCAAAGAGACAGGGGAGGGTGGGGGCAGCCGAGTGCCTGACCTACTGGGAGGCTGGTTTTCAGGATGATGGGATCCGGGATCTTCCAGAAGCCGTTATCCTCATCCCAGCTCGACTCTCGCCTTATCTTCTCCAGGTTGCTATAGTTACAGTCCCTGCGAATGAGCGGCTGCACCTGCTCCAGGAGCTGCTGGAAGAGCATGGAGTCCCGCTCCTGCCTGCGGATGGTCGCCAGGTAGTCAATCTTCTCCAGCTGGAACTCGGACTGCAGATCCTTGATTTCTACCTCCGCGGCCCGGAGCTGAGCCAAGGACGGGTGACAAAGTGGTGAGCAGGGGGAGGCTGCTTAGCACCTGTCTGCCCGCTCGGTCCCCAAGCGACCCCTAGCAGCCACTTACCAACTGCTCGCTGGCCCTATTGACAGTGTCCAGTCCCCTGAGCCTTGACCCACCATTCACCCCCGCTCCCTTCCAGCATGTAATGAGTGCCTCCTGTGGCCACAATTCCACAAAACATTGGTCTCCAACCACACCTGTGGCCCCAGCCTCAGCCGCCATGCCCTATTCAGACATTCCTTCTGGAGCATAAGACACACAGCAGGCGCTTAATAAATGCTCCTATGGAGAATAGGGGTTGCCAGCTATTTGCAAGGCAGGTTTATGCCCAGCTGGGACATGGGGCCAGGGGCCTGAGCCAGGGCCTCACCTTCTTCTGCATTTTCTCCAGCAGCTTGCTCTTGGCCCTCACTTCCTCCTGGATGGAGTCGTAGACGTTGAGCAGCACCCAGTCCCCGCTGTCCTCGTCCGAATTCTGCAGCGCGGCCACCAGCTGCTTCTTGCGCTCGTCCGCGTACCGCTTGCGCCGCTTGTGCTTCTCCTTCAGGTCCTTGTTCTTAGCCTGCTCACCCCCCACCACCTGCTGCTCCAGCAACTGCAAGCTGCAGCCGGGAGGGGGAAGCAAGCATGACAGATCCTGCGGCTCTGCCAACGTCTGTCACTCCCACACCACAACCCACTTCACAGAGTGGTAAACTGAGTAGCAAGGAGACAAGACTGCTGGGTTAACTGGGTGTCCCGAGGGCTGAGAGCTGAGCCACCACCACCCCCCATACTGATGGCGCCTGCCGCGGAGCAGGGGAGCAGGCTTTTATCTGTTATAGAACAAGTACATCCCAACAGGTGACAGAGCGGAAACTGGTGCCATTGTGGCTCTGGGTTAGAGCTGTGGCACCTCCCCGGCCTGCTGTGGCACCTCCCCGGCCTGCTGTGACACCTCCCCGGCCTGCTGTGGCACCTCCCCGGCCTGCTGTGACACCTCCCCGGCCTGCTGTGGTACCTCCCTGGCCCCGCTGCCCCTCTTATGATAGAGGAGAAGCCTAGTGTGGTCTCAGTAGAGGTTGAGAAGTGGATCTCACCTCAGCCCAGCCTGGGCCCCAATTTCTCAACCCCCACCCTTGGAGAGGGTTCTTCCAGCCATACCCTAGGCTCCTGACCCCTGAACCTGCTGCTCACCGGGCCAGCACCTGCTGTTGATCCACAGGCTGCAGCTCCTCGGTCAACACCGCCACTTCCACACCCACGCTCTCCCTTCTCACGCTCGCCATGGCCAGCAAGGGCTGAGGCTGGGCCACCTCGGCCACCTGGGCCATGTGGGCTTCAGACTCCATCCACATGCCAGTCTCTGCCTCAGCCACCACCTCCTCAGCCACCTTCAGGCCTAGATCAGGCTCCTGAGCGCAGAGGGAAACAAGATGGGAGGAGACATGAAGGAACCTGCATGGTTCACCCCCTGCCACAGACACACAAGCTGAGCAACCCTAATTCCAAAGTCTAAAACTCAACGGGCACAGAAATCCGAAAAGCTCTGAGCTCCAGGGTGCTCCAGAAGTTTTACATGTCAGTGGCTGGGGAGATTGCTCAATGGTTAAAACCCTTGCAAGCATGAAGACTATAGTCCAGACCCCCAGAACCCACGTAAGGTCTGTGCAATTCCAACCTCAGAAGGTGAGAGTTAGGGAACCCCAGAGCAAGCTGGCTACTGAGACCAGCCATGTGGGTGAGCTCTAAGCCTGGTCGGGAGAACCCATCTCCGTGAACAAAGTGTCAGAGCCATCGAGGATGATTTCCAACACCAGCTTGGAGCCTCCGCATGCATGTGCACACATGTACACCCACAGACTTCGGCCCATACACATGCAAAACATGCACACAAAAATGGAAAAAAATGGTTCAGATGTCAGAATATGGATTTAAGATAATAGAGAACCAACCTATAGCCAGCTATGAAAAGTTTGCACTCAAATTAGTTCTTATTACAATTATCTTCACCAATACCCCAAAAGGGCTTCCAGGCTCCTCTCTTGAGCTTTCTAAATCAGTCACCAAGGCAGACAGGATAATTTCCTCAAAAATACACACCGACCATAGAGTCCCTCTCGTACGAGAACCTTCCATTGCTGCCCATGGAACTGATCCAGAGGAAACTCCAGTCCCCTCTCTGGCTGTTGCCTCTCCCCCATGTCTCTTCCTGGCACCCCACCTGTCCACCTTGGTGCCACCCCCCACCCTGAGGAGGTCCTCAGCATGAAATGCTCTTCCTGGCTTCTCCTCCTCAGTCTCACTCGTAGCTGGGGCCTTCCACAGTTTTGTCACCGACTGTCACATCCTGTCCTATGACCACGCCTAGAGGCTTGCAAGCTTAAGGCTGCTCTCCCTAAGTGTGAAGAAATTTAGAAGCCTCCTCTCTCAGGTCTGCTGCACTGTCCCAAGCAGAAGACAAAGGGTATCCAAATTGGGTGCCCCAGGGCTACAGGAGGCCCCAGACAGTCAGTGCCTTAGGATCCCCAGGCCTGCCTGCGGCTCTAGTCCTGTGTGCAGACCCTGCCTTTGCTCCTATAAGACAAAAGCCCCATTGCCACTGTCCTTTTAAACAAAGGTGATCCTTTGTTTAAATATTGTTCAGCCATGAGACAGCTGCCTGGGGATGGCAGAGGTATCAAGACCTAGTCCCAGGAATGGAGGGCACAAGTCAGACAGAGCTGGGCCAGGCCCTGGGAGGCCACACAGGTACTTACAGTCCTGAGGAGGAGGCTGTCAACCACCTCAGGTTCTGACTTCATGTCACTGGAATCCAGCAGGTCCGTCAAGGATGGCTGATGGTGGGGGTTGGGGGGAGAAACAGATAAGGAAAAGGAGGAATGATCTGGGCGAGAAATCCTCTCTACTTCCTCAATGCCCTGACACCCACTTCTCCTTGCCTCCTTGGGAGCTGCAGACCCATCCATCTCCTCTGCCTGCTGCTGCTGTAGGGGTGAAGAAGTGAGGGGGACACAGGGCATGGGTGAGCACCTATGGTGTCCCAGGCTATGCTGTGTTATCTCATGCAAAACACAAGCTGGCATCTCTACTATTCAGAGGAGGAAACCATGGCCGAGAGCGAGGCAAACGGCCAACGTTACACCATGAAGTGGGAGCTGGGATTTCAAAGGCCTGTGCGGTTAAATGTCTGTGCACATATGCATACATGTGCTTACATGAAGAAAACTGAGAAAAATGGGGAGAAAAGAGGAATGTTTTCTTAAAACAGGAAGGGACCAGAGATTGGGCAAGAAGGGACAGGGGAGGCACCCCCTAGTCCTGGGGTCTTGAAGGGCAGCCCCAGGCTCCCTGGCTGCCTTAGGTTGGAAACTCAGGATCATTAATGGCAACTTAGCAACCCAGCCTTCTTTCCACATATACCGTGTCCCATCAAAGGAACAGGTGCCTGCCTAACGTGACCTGGGGGTTCCATCCCGGCTTTCTTAGTGTGTGTCTGACAGAGTATGTATGCATCCTTCCCAGCCACAGGACAGCAGGCTCCCCAACCAGGCCACTGAGTCATGGAGGACATGTGGTCAGCAGCCTTTTGTGTACAATGACCCCTGTGCTCCCAGCTCATCCTGCCCACTTCATAGGACATTAGTTACCTGCTCAGGGGTCTGGAGGACATCTGTCTGGGTCAGGTCCGTCATGGCTACAGTAGAGGAGAGCCTAGCTAGCTTGGCTTCCACTTCGGCAAAGGGGTCTTGCAGGTCTGCTAACACCTGCAGGGGCTCCAGCGCTGGCTCATCCTCATGGACATAGTTTTCAGCCTCCAGTGAAGAGGCAGCAGCTTCTGGACCCAGATACTCATCAGAGAAGTACCTGCTCTCAGCCAGCACCCCAGGCATGGAGAACTCCACATTGGAAAGCTCCTCGGGTCCAGGGAAGGCCTCCGACATGGAGGAGTCTTCGAGGGTGGATGACTCATTGGATCCAAAAGAAATCTCTGACCTGGAGGCCTCCACATGGGACAGGTCCTCAAACGTGAGGGGAGCCTGGCTCTTGGTGACCTCATCACCGGGCAGTGTGTCGGGCATGGAGAGGATGGTGGGCTTCACAGCCATCTCGTACCGCAAGGCTGGTGAGTACTCAGACCCACTGGCTAACTCGGCCCTGGACATGACCTCTGTCTTATAGAGGACTTCTGCCTTGAGAATGGCCTCTGTGGTAAACAGGAACATCTCAGTCTCCCAAACACCACCTTGAGTCAGAACCTTGAAGAGCCCCAGGGTCCAGCTACAGTTCCCACGCCATCCATCCCTGCCCTACTGCCTTCACCCCCTCTTCCAGAAAGCCATCCCTGAGCAGCACCAATAAGCCCAGATGTGGACCAGCTTGTGGACAGAGCACCCCAAGATAGTGTGACAGTACCAACTTTGGACCCAGAGTGCCTGGACTCCAGTTCTGACTCTATTTCCCCAGCTGGGTGGCCAAAAGCAATATACCTCTCCTCTCTGGGCCTGTTTTCTCACCTATAGGCAGGGGTAACTGTGGTACCCGCCCTGCTGGATGGAAAGGGGTGTCACTAAGAGGAAAGACAGAGGGGGCACCCGGCAGCACACACCTGTTTCCTTCTCCTTGCGCAGGTTCTCCTCCAGCGTGGACAGCTTCACGTCATATGAGTTACGCATGGCAGTGATGTCCTCCTGCAGCCTGACCCGAGATTCTTGCTCCGCCTCGTAGTCAGCCTTCAGGCGGGCCAGGCGCTCCTCATACTCCTAGGGTGGTGGGAGACACAGAGGTGGTTAGTGACCACTTCTCGGAGCCAGCCCTCAGAACGGACCTCCGATTCTAGATACTCAGACAACACAGGAGAGGACGAGGCGGGAGTCTCTGTCACATGGGGGGAACAGCTCACAGGCACCAGCCCCTCTGCAATGTTCTCCGTGCAGTTTTGATGGACTGTGCTTTCCATGTGTTTTCAGCCTAAATTTTCCATGCTACACTACGTCATGAACGCCTTTCCCCATCTAGACACGCTTCCACACAGTGGTACTCGAGCCGTCGATAACAAAATTCGTTTCTGTTTACTGGCCTCCCTCTCCCATCTCTGCTGGCACCGCTGGCTCCTGTTGCAACAGCATCCCACGCGGCCCCCACATCGGCTCTGGCTCCCACCTTAGCTGTTCCCCACACTGCTGCAGCCTACCCTCTGTAACGCCATACCCTCCACTTAGGGTGGATGGCTTCCAGCTTCATCGACAGTCTAAGCTCCTTCACTAAACCTGAGTCCCCAAGTTTCTTCCTTTCTTGTTATTGTGGTTGGAGTTTTTTTGTTATTTGTTTGTTTGTTTGTTTGTTTGTTTGGTTTTTTCAGGACAGAGTTTCTCCGTATAGCTTTGGAGCCTGTCCTGGAACTCATTCTAAGACCAGACTGGCCTCAAACTCCTCCCAAGTGCTGGGATTAAAGGCATGCCCCAGCCCACAGTAGGTGACACCATTCCCTAGGCAGCAAGACCTGAGTGCGTAAGAGTAGAGATGTCAGGCCGGAAAAAGGAAACGAGCATGCATGTGTTCACATCTCTCTGTTCCTGACACGGATGTGACACGAAGCTGTCCAAGCTCCTGTCTTGACTTCCATAAAAGCAATGGACTGTAACCTGGAACTGTGGGCTAAAATCATTCCTTTCTCCCATAGTTTGCTTTCTGTCACGGTATTTTCTCACAACCACAGAGATGAAATTAGAACCACTGCCAACCTGAACGGCCTGAGAAGCACAGATTAGTGAGGAGACCCACCTCTGAATGTGGCTGTGATGGCGTTTCCAGGGCAGACTGACGGACAGGTAACTATCCGCCCTGGACCACGCCATTCCGAATACTAGCGCCCAGGAGGAATAAAGGAGGAAGGAAGGAGGCTGATAGCATTGTCTCTTTCTTTCTCTATGCTTCCTGGCCACCGTGAGACAAGCACCTTCTTCATTACACTCTTTCACCAAGACCTTCTCCCTGGCCACAGTCCAAAAGGCATGGAGCCACTGGGCCCTGGAACAAAACCTCTGGAACCATGAGCCAAAATAAAATTTTTCTTTTTAAAAGTTGTCTGTGTTAGCTCTTCTGTCACAATGATGAAAAGGCTGCGAGCCACTAAGCAAGGGTGGTAATTGGAATGTGAATCCTCGGCCTAGCCACCCCTTGTTGCTGTTTGTCTGTTTCTTCTTTTCTTCTTCTTCTTCTTCTTCTTCTTCTTCTTCTTCTTCTTCTTCTTCTTCTTCTTCTTCTTCTTCTTCTTCTTCTTCTTCTTTCTTCCTCCTCTTCCTCCTTCTTCTTCCTCCTCCTCCTCCTCTTTCTTCTTTTCTTCTCCTTCTCCTTCCTCTTCTTCCTCTTCTTCCTCCTCCTTCTTCTTTTCTTCTCCTTCTCCTTCCTCTTCTTCCTCTTCCTCCTCCTCCTCCTCTTCCTCTTCTTATTATTCTTCTTTGGTTTTTTGAGACAGGGTTTCTCTGTAGTTTCCTGTCCAGGAACTCACTCTATAAACCAGGCTGGCCTCAAACTCACAGTGATCTATCTGCCTGCCTCTGCCTCCCAAGTGCTGGATTAAAGGTGTGCACCACCACCACCCAGCTTGTTTGTTGTTTTGATTTGTTATTATTATTAGCATATTTGAGCTTCTGATAACTTGCTCTGCCCAGAAATGCTCACTTCTCTCATGCTTCAGGGACTCTGCCCTGCTCCCTTGACAAGTTCATTCCTAGGGCTCACAGATGCCTCCTTCCTAACTCGGCCACTCTGCCATTCAGCAGCATCAGAAATGGAATCCCGGGGCAGCAGTGTCTGCTGGCACTATCTCTGATGGCCTATCCTGTCCACTAGGTTTTAGGCAACACCCAGGGGGACTGCCTGCCCAAAGTGGGGTGTGTTCTCCTGAGAGACCACTAGAGGGAAGCAACATCCAACCTACCAGATAACAAGGACCCTGACTAGAAGGTTCCATTCCAGGTACTGTCCAGTTCTCCTCCCCGAGGATCTGTGACCCAGATCTACTCATAGCTGTAGGAGTCTACAGTCACTCCAAGCCACTTGGTGTGGCTCCTGGGCACTGGTACCAGAAGAGCACCAAGGCTGCTAACACGAGAGGGGCTGCCCCCTAGTGGGCTTATAGGCTTAACCCTCCCCAGAGGGCTACTTCTTACCTCCTCAAAGGGTCCTGAGTCCTAGAGACAGACTCAACCCCCAGACTTACCCTGGATGGCCCCAAAAGTCAGAGTTCCCAGGACTGAGGCCACCAAGCCAAGCCTCTGGTCCCACAACCTGACAAGCATCTTTTTTTCAAGGCTGGTTTCTCTATAACTTGGGAGCCTGTTCTGGAACTAGCTCTTGTAGACTAGGCTGGCCTCGAACTCACAAAGATTCGCCTGCCTTTGCTTCCCGATTAAAGGTGTGTGCCACCGCCACCCAGCTCTGACAAGGATCTTGAGGGCTGGCCCTGATTGAGGTCATAGCTGAGAGACAGGACCCCCTAGCTGTAAACAAGACCATGCCAGAGCTCCCAGGAGATGCTTCTGCCTAGTATCAGAGCTCCCCCTCAGGAAGAGCCAGTTCCCCACAGGGACCATGGAATGTCAAACCACCAGGCAAGGACAGCAGGCAGCCTCTAAGCGGCAGGGGCCTCTGGAACTCATAGAGCCTGAAGTTGAGAGGGACCCTCTGTCATGTCTTCTTATGTTTATATCCCTGGAGACCATCTGTCCTGATACTTCCCAGGGATGCTGGGAGATACATGGTGTGAGGGCCTAGGTGTCATGTGAAGCCAGTGCTACACATAGGATAAACAAGTCATGCTGCTCTCAGGCCCAGGCTTGGCTGTAGCACCAAAGGCAGATTCCTTTCCACTCTGATGGCCTCTGCCAAGAGCCCTCCCACTCCAGGGACAGCTATCTACTCCCATCAGTCACCAGCCACCTTTTCCAGAAAGTGCTGGTTTGAAGGAAAATGGCCCCCAAAGGGAGTGGCGCTATTAGGAGGTGTGGTCTTGTTGGAGGAAGTGTGTCCTTGTGGAGGCAGGCTTTGAGGTCTCAGAAATGCTCAAGCCAAGCCAGTGAGATAGTTCACTTCCTGTTGCCTGCGCAAGATATAGAACTCTCAGCTACCTCTCCAGCACCACACCTGTCTGCACACTGCCAGGTCCCACCATGATGATAACGGACTGAACCTCTGAACTGTAAATAAGCCACTCATTTAAATGTTTCTCTTTATGAGAGTTGCCATGGTCATGGTGTCTCTTCACGGTAATAGAAGCCCTAACTAAGACACAACAACGTTACCAAGGAGAGCTTCTCTTGGGGATGTGCCTGGTCCTCAGTGCTCTCCCCACACTGGTTCTAGTGTGACACAAAGAACAGTCTAAGCCAGGAAGTAACTCTTTGATATTCCTGTCTTCCCTATAGCTTTGGAAACATCATGACATCCTCTTTGAGACCCAGCTTCCTCAGAAACAAAAGGGGCATACTGGCTCTCTCTGGGGCACCCTCTCCTTCACACTGGCAGCTTGTTGGGGTCTCACCTCCCGGATCAGCTGCTTTTCAGCCTCAGTGTCCTGCTGCACGGTGGTGGGGGGCAGCATCTTCTCCTCAGGCTGGGCAGGGCTCAGGGGTGTCTGAGTGGACAGCAGGGCTGGAGATAAGGAGACAGGAGGAGTCGAGCGTGAGGCACCCAGGGACCAAGCAAAAATATGGCCCGATGTGAAATACCATGGACCAGTTAGTCACCCAAGTGTTCAGGACACTGGGAAAGTAGCGCTAGACACAACTCCACATCACTGTGCACTAGGGAAGAAAGGCAAGAGGGTGAGCAGATGTGTAATGAATACACAGAAAGAAAGGGCAGGGAGGGTGCCCAGAATTAGACAACTGTGAGCTCCCGCAGGGTACTGGGAATCAAACCCTGGTCCTCTGGAAAAGCAGCCAGTGCTTTTAACCACTGAGTCACCTCTCCAGCTCCAGCAGTAAAGGTTTAGAGAGAAGGGTCACTGCAGAGGCCATGAGACAAGGGCTAGTCAATGGGTGGGGCTGGCCTGCCAGAATTAGGGGCAAGGAGAAGGTGTTGGGGGAGAGGAATGGGAGCCAGCAGAGGCAGACAGAAGACACTCCATGTCTTGCTAAAGGATCAGAGAGAAGACATGCAGTAACAGAGAGAAGCGGGAGGCTAAGAGGTCCTGGATTAACGCTACTGAGCACTAGGCTGGGAGTCTCGCACACAGAGCAGCCCATCGACTATGACCCCACGTGTTGTCTCAGGTGAGTCCTTTACTGCCCTTCCCCACTCCCCGCACCCCACGGAAGCCAAGCAGTCAAGCAGTTCTTCTGATTCCATCTTTTTGTTTTGTTTTGTTTTGTTTTTTGAGACAAGGTTTGTAGCTTTGGTGCCTGACCTGGAACTAGCTCTTGTAGACCAGGCTGGCCTCAAACAAACAGAGATACGCCTACCTCTGCCTCCCGAGTACTGGGATTAAAGGCGTGCACCACCACAGCCCACTGACCGGCCTGAGTCCATCTTAATCAAGATTAAGATATAGCTCGTGGGGCTAGGTCACTTGCCCAAGGACCAGGTAAGTTAGCTGTTGGTCTCAGCACATCGCTTGGTACAAGGCCAGCCACCACCAGTGCCTGCTGAGCATCAGGATTCTAGCCCAGGAAGGGCCCCCATCCTGGAAGGCTGTATTGGCTGCCGGGTTGGGGACCCATTGGGAATCCAGCACTTCTTCCACTCCTGTTTTGGGGATGTGCAGTCGAGACAGGGGACAGGGAAGGAGGCAAGGTGATGGACATCCTAGCACTTTACCTGGCCACCACTGTCCCCCGGCCCACCCTAAGGCAGCCAGTAGAAGTATGTGGAGTTAGTCAAGCACACTTCCGTGTTTGTGGATCTTCACACTGCCCCGATCCTAGCAGGTATGATTCTCATGCCCCAGGACTCAGCTTGGCTAGTGTGCCCTCTATGGAGCCTTTTCTAACTGACAGGCTTGGATCCTCTCTGCCCAGCATGGCTGCCTGCCTTAAAGCTTGCTCCTCATCCTCAAAGAGGCAACGTTTGGGTCTGAGTCATGTGTGTCCCCAGGGTCCAGCCCTGGTTTACATACGAAGAAGTGTTAGGGGAACTCTGGATGGAAGGGTGGGGGGTGGGGAGGTGGGAGGGTTCAGGAAGGAGAATGAATGGGTGGATTCATGAACAGTTGCAGGGAGGTGAAATTTGAACGGGTAGATGGGTAGGGGAAGGGGGAAGGCGAAGGAGGGTGGGTGGGTGTTGGAAGGACGGATGAGCAGGGGCTGTGTAAGCAGTGGAGTATGAAGAGGAGGGAAGGGCTTGTGGATGGGTGGAGGGTGGGGCAGAGGGTCGAGATCCATATGTAGAATTGGGTCAACAGAGGCAGGTGGGCAGGAAGACCAAAGGTCTGATGCTAGACTCTTCTATGCCCACTGCTCCTGAGAGACAGCCACAGAACACTCTGTCGTCTCCTGGGGCCCTGCAGGCCTGTGTTCCAGGCCCGAGTTTCTGTGCCTGCCAGATGTCAGACGGAATGGCAGCCGCGATTACAGGAGCTGGGGTGGGACGTGGGCAAGTGAGTCATCCAGATGCTAAGAGCGCGATGCCCCTACCACTGAGCTAGGGAGACAGTCGGGTAGACAGACAAGCAAGCCTAAGGCAGGGAGTGGACTGTGAGCTTATGGCTGCTGACCGGACAGGCCAGCCAGCCAGGCCTCTTTCTGGGGCCATAAGTAGGTAGAAGCCATTACTACAGGGGTGTGCTGAGCTGAGTGGTACCAAAGGACCTGACAAGGGAGTCAGAGAAAGTAGGGACATACGGATGGGATATCCGCTTGACCCCGCCCTCTCCTGCTACCCCAGACTATCCCACCTGATAGGTGGCCAGGGTCCATCTGCTGGGCCAGGATGGCCTTTAGCCTCTTGATCTCCTCCTGGTACTCGCGAAGCAGGGCGTCCTTGGGGTCCTCGTTAATGCGTGGCTTGTTCTTGATATTCTTGGCCCGGTTGGCATAGCGCAGGGTGCTGAGGCTCTCGTCGTAATTGTTGTCGGCAGGAGACAGGCAGGCCACCATCAGAGTCTTGGTGTTGCCACCCAGCGAGTCCTGCAGTAGTCGCGTTAGTTTCGAGTCCCGGTAAGGGATATGCTTGCAACGGCCGTCCACCAGGGCCGAGATGACGTTGCCCAGTGCTGACAAGGACAGGTTGATCTTGGTGGCCTCCTTCAGCCTTTCCCCCGTGGCCCCGGTCTTGGATTGCCGCTCACTGCCCGCCAGGTCTACCAGGTTGAGTTTGCCTGCACGGAGGTGGTCCTTACCCCGCTCATCTGCAGACAGGCAGGCAGAGAGCTGGTGAGCCCCACATCTTCCCAAGGTCAGGGTGGCTGGCTACCAAGCCCTCAGAGCCTACCACTCATTTGGGGTGGCATTTGAGCCTATCAGGAGTCTGTAAAGGAGGGTCTGCCATGGTACAGGTAAGGAGACTGATCATCAGAGAGGGCGTGGAACTTTCCCAAGGCCACACAGAAGCCAAGGAGGTAAGTGGAGAGATAGCTCAGAGGTTAAGAATACTGGCTGCTCTTCCAGAGGACCCAAGTTCAATTCCCAGCACCCACATGGCAGCTCACAACTGTCTTTAATTTCTGTTCCAGGAGATTTGACACCCCCACACTGACATATATGCAGACAAGACAACAATGCTCATAAAAAAATAAACTATCTAAAACTAAAAAGAAGAAGCCAAGGAGGAGGAACAAGGTGGACACTCGGGGTTGCCTGACTCGTAGGTAAGGGTCTGTTCTCTGGAGAATGTAGTGCTATTTTGTTTGTGATCTAACAAATAAAGCTTACCTGAAGATCAGAGTGCAGAGCTAAGCCACTAGTTAGCCACAGAGGCCAAGTAGTGGTGGCACACACCTTTAATCCAAGCATTCAGGAGACAGAGGCAGATGGATCCCTGTAAATTCAAGGCCACCCTGGGCTACGTGAGATTGAATCTGCCTAAAAGAGAAACAGAGACCACACAAAGGTGATCCCAGCATTTGGAATCACATGCCTTTAATCCCAGTACTAGGGAGGTGGAGACAGGAGTGATGAGGCTGGATGGAGAGAGGAAGATAAGGCGGGAGGAGACAGGAGCTCAGATGCAATCTGAGGACTCAGTCTGAGCATGCAGTTTGAGGTGTTGTAGAGACAGGACGCTCCTTTGGTCTGAGCATTGGTAGAGCTAAGAACTCTCTAGTGGCCTCTCTGCTTCTCTGATCTTTCAGCATTAACCCCTGTATCTGACTCTGGGTTTTTATTATGAAGACCAATTAGAATTTGTGCTACAGAGACAGCAGAGTCTCTTTTGGACAGATTTCCATGGGGCCAAAGGCAGAGGAAGGCGAAGGGGAGATGGCAAGATGGCCAGGGAGCTGTATCTTTGCATGCAAAGAGTACTGGCTTTGAAGGTCAACCCTGTCTCTTCCATGCTGTATGGGTATAAGCAGAGCCACACACATCTCTAGCTCTCCACTGATTCCCTCTACAAAGAAAGACAAGCCTTGACTGGCTTCCTACTAGGACTGGATGTGTAGGGTCAACGGGCCACATATTTTCTGACCAGTGCAGAGCAATCTTAAGATAAAATGTTTGCTGACATCAGATAGGTGTGAGGGATCTGTGTCTGTAAGATCTTTAAAAAGAAAAATGGAGGGGCTGGAGAGATAGTTCAGTGGTTAAGAGCATTGCCTGCTCTTCCAAAGGTCCTGAGTTCAATTCCCAGCAACCACATGGTGGCTCACAACCATCTGTAATGAGGTCTGGTGCCCTCTTCTGGCCTGCAGACATACACACAGACAGAATATATTGTATACATAATAAATAAATTAATTAATTAAAAAAAAAGAAAAATGAAACAGGGAGCCAGGCGGTGGTGGCACACGCCTTTAATCCCAGCACTTGGGAGGCAGAGGCAGGTGGATCTCTGTGAATTCGAGGCCAGCCTGGTCTACAAGAGCTAGCTCCAGGACAGCCAGGGCTGTTACATAGGGAAATCCTGTCTTGAAAAAACAGGGGAGAAAAAGGAAATAAGAAAAGGAGCAGGAAGGGACTAGCAGTGTTTTTGGAGAGTGCTTGTAGAATGTACCAGAATGTGTCATGAGCCTTGAAGATGTGTGCACTCTGTGATTTCACAGCACATACCAGGTCTAGCCTGAGCAAATGAGTCTCAGAGGAGAAGCAGCCCTGTGCACAAAAGGTGTTCCTGGCAGCATCACCCAGAGCACTGTGAAACCAGAAACGATGTCAGTGCCACAAGAATGACAGCTTAGAAAAGGGGCGGGTGAGAGAGGCTGGAAAGATGGCTCAGAATGTTGAGAGCACCGGCTGCTCTTCCAAAGGTGCCGAGTTCAATTCCCAGCACCCACATGTTTGCTCACAGCCATCTTTGATGAGATCTGGTGCCCTCTTCTGGCATGCGAGCAAACGTGGAGAGAGAACGCTGTATACGTAATAAATAAATCTTTTTAAAAAAAGAACAAAAGAAAAGGGGTGAGCATGGAGCATCCTCTGTCCACCACCCACTCTCACGAAAACCTGGAAATGATTCATAGAAGAAAACAAAACAAAAGAGGAGCCAGAGAAAACGGACTTCACTGTGTGGCTGTGTTTAGGCATCAGCCCGCCCTTCAGACCTTCCGCAAAGCTCCATCATGCTCAGAGCCTCTTGCACCATCCAGCCAGGCAGCTGTCCCTGCCCCAATGCCCCAGTTGCAACCGTGAGGTCATGCCCTCTTCAGAGGGGTGTCCCCAGGGACACCCAGGTTAATGCTCTTTGCTCCAGCAAGCACCAGGGCGCTGGTCTGGGAACAGGTTGACCAGGCTGACAGTACGCAGGGAGGCTACATCAGCCCTGGCCTTGACCCTGAGTCAGGGGTCTCTCCAAAGTTACGGTCCCAGATGGGCTAGGCCGCATCCTGCTCTGTGCTCTCCGCAGTTCTAATTGTGACAGACGACAGACAGGTGCAGCTGCGGGCAGTGTTAGGGGACAAGGTGCCAGGAGGCCCTGGGTTCAAATTCTGACTCTGCCACTCTATGACTGGGGTACCCTGCATGAGCAACTCTCTTCACTTCTCAGAGCCTAGGTTTCCTCTGTGTAAAAGGAGAATGATACCGCCGGCCTCGAGGGCTGCCACAGTTACACAGGTGAAGCCTAGGACACCCTCACAGAACATCTCCCTTCACACAGCATCTGGCCTACGGGTGCCCAGAGACAACGCTGCGTTCTGTCCCCTTTCCCAGCAGCTCTCCCGCGAACAGAAAGAGACAGCTGAGTGAAGGGCAGAGAACACTCCTGAGAAAGAGTCATGAGGCCTGAGTGACAGACAGATCTCTGGCCCCGCATGTTTCCCAGGGATGGAACCCAGAGCCCAGAGCAGGCTACTCAAGTACTTAAGTCCTGAGCTCCAGCCTCAACTCCGAGACTCAGTCTCCTCATCTGTAAAATGGGGGTGTGAGCAACTAGCTCATGAGAGGGTTGAAAGAATGGATGAGGTAATGGGAGCATGCTGCCTGGCCCACGGGAAGTGCTCAGCGGTGTCCACCAGTTTTGTGGTTGCTGGAGCAGATGCAGGAAACAGATCAGGTCCCAGCACAGGGAGGACCGTCAGGTTTCCTTCAGGCACTTAAGGGCATCTTTTCCCGGTTTGCCACGGGGTTCTCCAGGCTCCAAAGAGGTGAGACGCCCTCCTGGCAGGAGTGGGAAGCTGGCTCAGGATGTGTGGGTCACCCTCTGCCCGCAGCCGGCCCCGTACCCACGGCATAGATCTCGATGCTGATGGTGAAGATGGAGTGTGAGCGGGAGGAGTCCTTATTCATCAGGGTGTAGCCGACCGCGCGGTTCTTCCAGCCCGTCTCCATGACGCGCTCGCACTGCGCCACGCTGTGCACGGTGTGCATGGACAGCCCCTTGACGTACACGCCCTTCTCAGGGTGCTCCTTCAGCTGCAGGGAGGAGGAGCAGGGAAGGTCGAGATCACCGGGGCTCTCTGACAAACCCAAAGGCGGAACCCTGTCCAGGAGGCCACTGTGCCCTCCTAAAGCATCCTGTAATAGGCAGGGGGCTCACTCTGGTGGAGCCAGCGGCAAACCTACTCCTGCCTCCCACCTGTTGCAGGATCTTGGACCAGTAACATCCTGAACCTCAGTATGCACAACCTGGAAAATGGGCATGAGATACCAATTTCATTGGCATGGTAAGGAACACACAAGCTTTGTTGGGACCTTCAGGTTCTGGAAGCTGATGAGGCTGGCACCCAGAACTCTGACTTTATTGCCTTTGTCCTGTCCACATGGCTTCTGTTATGCCCTCTGCTGATACGACCAGGGCATTGGAAATGTCTCCTGACTCCTGATGGTGGCAGGTGGAGGGAGAGTCGTTTGCTGCCTGAGCCCACAAGGCCTGCAGTTCAGCCCTTGGAGATGGTAGCTAGAAAGCTATGTCCCCCGATGTTTCCGGCTTCCTTCCCAGGCTGCCAAGGAGCTTTCCTGCTTACTCAAGAGCAGGGAAATGCAGAATTTCTCAGAGGAAAGAAAACCACACTGGCAAGGTCAAAATGAAGGGCTGGGTGTGGTGGGGTACATCTGCAATCCCAGCATTCAGTGGGCAGAGAGGTGGAAACTACTGCAAAATCAAGGCCAAGTTGGCCTACACAGCAAGACCACAGCAAGATACACAGTATCTTGGGTGGGAGAGGGAAGGAAAGCAGAATGAACAATAGGTGTGTGCCTACTAAGTGGCCATGCTGATTGGGGCCCAGAAGGCTCAGCTGTCTACTCTGGGGGGTCCCAGGAGGGGACAAATCCCCTTCTGTAAGGAGTCAGGTGCGGGTACAGGCTAGCTCTACCCGCTTGGGTGTGAAATCCCATCAGGGCTGGGTCTATGGAACAGAAAAGTATCTGAGACACAGAAAGGTTAAATGACTTGCTGAAAGCCATACGGCTATAATTGGGTTTCAGTGACAGAGGACCTCAGAAACAGGATAAAGGGAGTCCCGGAGGATGGGTGCAGAGGACGGAGTCCTGCAAAACAGAGGCAGGCAGTGTTTAGGACTGGAAAGCAGACGGCACGGATCCCACCACACTCCTAGAATCCAGAACCCAGTTGGGGGCACACAGCAGGTCTGGTGAATGTCTGATCACCCTCAGAAAGGGCACATTGGGCTGGAGCGACGGCTCAGTGGTTAAGAGCACTTGTTCTTACAGAGGACTGGGGTTCAATTCCCAGTGTCCACACAGTGGCTTACAACTATCTATAGTTCCAGTTCCAGGGAACTTGACAGCCTCTTCTGATTTCTGGAGGAACTAGGCATGTACACAGTGCATATACAAAAACATACATAATACATACATATATACATACATATAGGCAAATTACTCATATATGTAAAAATAAAAATAAATCCATCTAAAACTTTTTGTTGTTGTTTTTAAAAAAAGCCTATTTAGGCTGGGCAGTGGTGGTGCCTTAAGAACTTGGGAGGCAAAGGCAGGCAGGTCTCTGAGTTCAAGGCCAGCCTGGTCTACATTAGTGAGTCTCAGGATAGCCAGAGCTACACAAAGAAATGATGCCTTGAAAAGTCAAAAATAAAACAACAAAAAGAGCCCATTTAGTCGGACATGGTGGTGCACACCTTTAATCCCAGCATTTGGGAGGCAGCAAGTAGATCTCTGTGAGTTGAAGGCCAGCCTGGTCTACATATCGTGTTCTAAGACAGCCAGAGCTAGAGCGAAAACAAGCTAGAGCCTATTGAAAAAAAAAGCATCCTTAACCACTTTCCTACTTATTCAGCAGGACTCAGGCAGGAAACCCTGATAGATGAGGGATGTCACCCGGCTTCTGCGGTTCTCACTGGTCGCCTCCCCTATGAAATGAGGACAAACCCCCGTTTCCGCGAGACAACAGGGGAACTAAGAAGGACCTGTGGGACCTCAGCGGGCTCAGCGGAAACAGGTCATGAAGAGGACGGGGATGCTGCCTTGAGCGTGGGAAATCTCAGAAGGCAAAATCAGCCCCCCCATCTCTGACACCCTCAGGGGTCCTTCCCACCACTGTTACCCACAGCCTTGCCAACGCTGGTCCTGGGGAGGTGCTACAGGATGGCCACCAGCTGTACATCCTATCCCCCTCAGTAACTGCTCTTCTAGGCTGCAAGAAACCAGAGCCAGGTCTCCATGGCAACCAGCTGTGCCACTATGGAAGAGATGGAGAGGGACACAGGCACAAGGCCGTGACTAGGGTCCGCCTGGGAGGGGGTGCTGATGTGCTCTTCCTCACACGTGGCTCGGCAAGGACGCTTGGGAGACCTCTGCAGACTCCACCATGATCTACTGGGTGGAGCTCTGGGGCAGTAGTTATACTGGCTTGAGGGTGGGGAGGGGAGTTGGCATCCCCAAATCTCTTGCTGGTCTTCTCTGACTGAATAACTTCTAATTATAAAATGTACCAGGCAGGCCCTATGCTAACCACAGGCTAAGAGCTCGCTCACGGGAGCCTTGGGTTCCAATCCATTCCCACTCGGTGTGCTCTTTGGGTTATACATAGGTGCCTGAATCACAGAAGATGAGAACAGAATTCTCCTACGCTCACATGGAAACCATCTGCATATCACCCACAGAGCAGCCTATCAAAGGCCCAGTGCCCACAGGGTGTGTACCACGGAGCACATCCATCACCTGCAGCCCTCCGGGCAGTGGCTTGGCTAAGTGAGGCCTTCCCAGGGTTCAGGGTGGACAGGGAAGGATAGAATCTCCATGGCACCCACACACGTTGGCTGAAAGGTCTGTGAGGGTTATGACCCTAAGGCTAGCCCTTCTAGGGCTCCCAGCCCCCACCAGACTCCTCTGCCTCTTTCTCTGAGGGTGAGTCATGACTCCCAACACCTTCTTCTGGTGAGAGGGATGCTGTAGGTTGGCAGTAGGAGAGGTTCCTGGCAGGGAGGGCAAAGTGCCGCTAGGCTTGTGCACAGCCCGCTGCAGGAGAATGGCAGGGTCTTGAGTGGAGGGATGGAGACGGAAGAGAAGAGGGTCCAGGGCAGTGCATGACCTGGCACGCTGGTACCCATGGGTCCTTCCCAGTAAGTCAATCAATGAACGACCGTCCCTCCCTCTACTAAAGCTGGAGTCACTGGCTTTCTGGTGGACCCTGGGAGGTGGGGGTGGTCAGGGCATAAGCATCGTGGCTAGAGGGAGAGTCCAGCGGTATCCCAGCACAGATGAGGAGCAGCATCTCACACTGGCCTATCCTCCATGGACCAGGCCATCGGGTTTGTAAAAGCCCCAGGAAGGAGCAAGACCAGGACCTCTGGCCAATGTTAAGGCCAAAGCGTCCCAGCTGGGACTCCATGCTCTCTCCCCCTGACTTCCAGTCCTGGCAGAATTTGTTGTCCATTCTCTTGTGCTGCTTCTCTCTCTCTCTCTCTCTTTCCTTCCCTCCCTTCCCTCCCTCTTTCCTCTCCCTCCCTACTTCTCTGTTTTCTTCTCTTCCTTTCTTTCTTTCTCTTCTTTCTTTCCTTTCCTTTTTTGTTTTTTGTTTGTTTGTTTTTTCGAGACAGGGTTTCTCTGTAGCTTTGGAGCCTGTCCTGGAACTAGCTCTTGTAGACCAGGCTGGCCTCGAACTCACAGAGATCTGCCTGCCTCTGTTTCCCGAGTGCTGGGATTAAAGGCGTGCGCCACCACTGCCCAGCTCTTTCCTTTTTTTAGACAGTTTCTTTATGTGATCCAGGTTGGCCTGGAACTTGCAATCTCTCTGCCTCGGTCTTCCCACTCTGGGATTAAAGCCTGTGCCAATAAACCAAGTCCGGCAGGATTCTTAATCTCTCTGGGTTTCCCAAACAGTCATCCTGGTTTCGTCTATCCGAACAAAGCCCTGACATAGTGAGCGGTAGGAAGCAACGCTCTTCCACCTTAAGCCAGTACTTTGAGGAGACTGAAGACGACTTATGAAATGTGTCCGAGGCTCTCTGACTAAGTCAATCTTCACCACCATGAGCGGATCATCTGTCCTTGACCCTGCCCCGCCAGGGACTCCACTTGCCAGATCCCGTCATTGATGGGGTTTTTTTTTTCTAATCCCCAACAGCTTGAAAAGCTCACATACTGAACACCTAGCAGGCATGGACACTCCGCTGAGGGGCATGTCCTATTCACTGTCTCTAACCCTCAAAACCTCTTTGCAAAGTAAACCAAGACGATGGAATCCTAGCCATATAAACATCAGTAAAATAAGGGGTTTGAAGTTCAAACCCTTTAGTTAGGCAGACCTGGGTTCAAGCCCAGGCTCAGCCACTTGCCGCCTTGTAGAACCTGGGCAGACTGAGGCTCTCACAGCCTCCTTTCCACACTACTGGTAAATTAGAGATGACAACATCCACCAGCAAGGATACTCCAAAGATGAAGTGGGATAATGCACCTGAAGGGCCCAGTGAATAGTAAGTGCTTAGTAAGTACTTCATACCTTCTTTCAGACCGTCAAAATAATTTTTATCAATGGAAGTGTTTTCTAAAGCAGAACTCTATTGGGAAACATCACCTTGTTTCCACAGAGGTGGCCTTGTTCAAGGGGATAGCCAGCCTGTGTGGTGGCGGCAGACACAGAAACAGTCCAACACTAGGGAAACTGAGGCAGCAGGATCCTGAGTCCCAGCACCGTCTGATACTAGCCACTGCCCCTGGGACCTTCCTGACCACCCCCCATGGGGTCTGTGGTGCAGGAGAATTATCTGTATTCTGTCAATCATATTTTAATAAAACGCTGATTGGCCAGGCAGGCAGTATAGGCGGGAAAGTCAGACAGGAAGTAGGGGTGGAGCAAAGAGACTGGGAGTATTCTGGGAAGCAGGAAACTCCCTAGCCATTCCTGTGCAGACCACTGACGAGGCAGCATGTAACCTGCCCTGCTGAGAAAGGTACGGAGCCATGTGCTAACATAGATAAAGATAATGGGGTAACATAAATTATAAGAGCTAATAAGTAGCCTGACCTAATGGGCCAATCAGTTTATAACCTTATGGAGTCCTGTGTGTGATTGATTTTCTTTGGGACTTGCCAACTGTGGGGTACCGGGTGGGAAAAGATACCCCAAACAAGCCGGCCCTCATGTTACAGGTCTGCACCCACCTCCAGCTTCTGCTTGGTGTCAGCGCCCAGCAGGTCACGGACATCTTCATTGTAGATCTCCAGATAGGAAGCCCGGACCAGGAACTTGGTATTTTCTGCACACTGCGGGAAGCAGAGCATGAAAAGACGGCTTGTGCCAAACCCGACTGTTGCTCAGGCCTCTACAGCTGAGACATCAGAGGGGGAAGGGCCACACGGGCCCTCATCCCCACCCTACCCTGCCTGCCCTGCTGGCAAACCTTCCTCTCCAGCTCCAGGACCCCCAGATTCCAAGCTGTGTTATGGCTATCTATCCAATGTGCTGCCTAGAAACCTCATGGCAAAGAGGCAGAAACCTCCCTCCCGCGGCCACAGTCCCGGCCAGGGCACCTGGACCAAGCCCTGGCTTTGGGCTGAAGAGTGAGCCTCTGGGGCCACCACAAGCGGGGGCTGTCCAGTCTGGGGTCTGTGAGATAAGTCTACAGAGGGCTTCATGCAAGTCTGGTCTTTAGTCATTGCTCAAGAAATGCGGGAGCCGTGACTGTTAAAACCACTGCCCGCTGTCATGTGCAGAGTCATCAGACAAGAATGCTAAGGGAATTTCAACATTCAAGAAAAATGTGGAACCGACTTTTCTCAGTTTTGTTTTTCACCCATGATTTTTTTAGAGCCCAGGCCCAGGACGTGCCTCTGTTGACCCACGCAGAGTCGAGACCAGGATCTGACTGCAACTCACGGTCCATGCCTCTGTCATAGGTGCCCTGGGGGCCATCTGGGACACTAGCCTTACCCTTTACAAGTGAGGCCCATACCTGAACGCTCTCAAACACGTGCTCGAAGGCTCTGGGAATGATGCCTCTCTGGCTGGGGGGATCCGGCAGGCCCTGCATGGTGAAGGACTTCCCACTGCCTGTCTGGCCGTACGCAAAAATAGTACCATTGTAGCCCTCAGTGACACCCTATGGGAGAGGGAACCAAGGTCAGGTGTTCGGCTGACAGCTCCAGGTGGGTACCATGGCCTCCAGCCCACAGACTCAGGTGCCCTGCTCGGGTGGCCACTGAACAAGGCACCGCTTTGTTTCAGTCTGATGGGGTTAAACATCGTGCCAAGGTGGGCTTATCTAAAAGCCTGTGCTGGGAGCCAACTTGATTCAAATGCTTGTTCAAGTGTATCTCCATGCTTGTTTCGTTTCTCCGTGTACTGCTGGAGACAGAACCCAAAATCTCCTATACGCTAGGCAAGAGCCCTACCACCAAGCCACACCCTCAGCCTGGCTCTGCTCTTCACCACACGCCTTTGGACTGGTCTTCGGCACATGGATTTGCAGTCTCCCTTCCCGTCATAAAGAGTAAGAACACAGCCCTTCCTAAAGCTGACTCATCTCGTGTATTAGGCACGGCAAATGCAGGCACAGGCAGGTACTTGCGAAATGTCTGCCGGGAACTTGGGGAGGGCAGACAGTGCTTCTCACCCAGGCCAGGGAGGTGTACACAGGGCAGAGGTCCAGAGAACCATGAAGGGAGAGAGTCAAAGAAAGGAGGTAGGAAGGTGTGGGAAGAAGCAGCCTCCTCTTCCTTCTGTGTAGCAGAGGCAGGAAGGAAGAGAAGCTGATGCTGAGGAGACCTGGACAGGTGACAGGAGACTGGCAGGAAGAGGAAGGAGATCCAGGCCAAAGGCACACAGGAGAGTGGCTGATAGTAGGTGAAGCCGGGAGTGGGGTATGGATGAAGAGGCTGAGAAGGAGAACTAGGTACCACTTCCAAGGCCGTTTTTCACTCACGGCTGCACGCATTCACCCTGCACATACTAGCTGTCTTTCCTGAATCGGGAACCGAGCCATGTTCTGTGCAGAGGGAGGTGAACAAGGTGGCCACAGCCGTTGGCCTCGGAGTTCTTGGGGTTTACAGATAGCAGAACTAGCTATGGGGCATCTGTGATGGTGAACATTGTCAACTTGATTTAGAGTTACCCTGGAAACAAATCTCTCGACGTATCTGTAAGGGGATAGCTAGGTAGGTTAACTGAGGTGGGAAGATCAAGGTTAGGTTAACTGAGACGAGAAGATCCACCCTATATATAGGCAGTACCATCCCGTGTGCTGGGGTCCCAGGTTGAATAAAGGAGAAAAGCTGAGCAGCAGAGGCATTCATTTCCCGTGCCTCCTGATTGGATGAACATGACAACTGCCTCCTGCTTCTGTCACCAAGCCCTCGCCGTCATGAGGGAGTGCATCCTCCACTGTGAACCCAAACAAGCCCTTTCTTCCTTAACCTGCTGCTGCCAGATTTGTCACTGCCAGACAGGCCCGCTGCTGGCACCCAAGAAGGCCGGTATCCCATCAAAGCTCCCCAGCCCTTGCAGAGGACAAGTGCTTCCTTGTCGACAGTGGAAATGGACGAGTCTATCCAATCTAGGGAAACTGCGACCACACCGAGGTCCTGTAGTTCCTTAGAGGGGGTAGGCTGCACACAGCGGTGGGACCTTTAAAATGGGGACAAGTGACTTCGGTGAGAGAGCGCATCCCACATGCAGCTAAAGAGGGAAGCACCTGCCCCCGCTGGAGAAGATGAAGCAGTTCAAGGACTGTCACTGTAGCCTGAGTCCAGGGAAGGGACTACAGGACCATTCAGAGTCACATGGCCGATGCTCCGTTCTCTTGGGTAGCCACAACCTGTGCTGGTGCCTGTGCAGCCCGAGGGACTGAGTTCATTGTTTTCACAGGGTCTCACACATGCTAGGCAAGTGTTCTACCACTGAGCACTTATTTAGGGTTGTGGATAGATCTCTTGCAGCTCAGAATGACCTCAAAATAAGTAGTAGCTACTGATAAGCCTGCTTCTGCCTCCTCAGGAACTAGAATTACAAGCAGATGCCACCATGTACGGTTCTGCTAGAACTGAACCCAGGACTGTGTGCTGAGCAAGCCCTGCACCAACTGGTCACGCCCCCACCCAGCCTCCTCTTTGATTTGACTGACTGGATTCTTATGATCCTGCTGGCTCTGCCTCTCAAGTGCTGGGATTAAAGGTGTGTGCCACCACCACCTGTTTTGGCCCTTCATTTTAATGACTGGAACTGAGTTGTGCTTTAAATATAAAATACATACCAGACTTCACAGTTTTTTGTTTTGGTTTTGATTTTTCAATATAGACTTCCTGTGTGTAATAATAGTCTCTGCTGTCCTGGACCTCACTTTGTAGACCAGGCTGGCCTCGAACTCAGAGATCTGCCTGTCTCTGCCTCCTGAGTGCTGGGACTAAAAGCATGCACCACCACACTCAGCTACAGACTTCACAATCTTAATATAATTAACATAAACTATCAACTAATAGTCATTAGATATATTATCTGTGGTTCTGTTTTACTGAAATAGTATAGATATGTTGCATTAACTATATAATCAGCTCTTCCTTTTAGTTTTTAAAAGGCTACCATGGGGGGAGCTAAAACTATGTTTGTGGCTCAAGTATGCAATGTAAAACAGCTTTATTTATTAAAGGCACGTGTCTTTAATCCCAGCACTCGGGAGGTGGAGGCAGGTGGATCTCTCTGTGAGTTCGAGGCTAGCCTGGTTTACAAGAGCTAGTTCTGGAACAGGCACCAAAGCTACACAGAGAAACGCCGTCCCAAAAATCAAAACAAAAAACAGTTTTATTTATGTATTTAAACTTAATTGAAAATCATTATAGCCAGGCATGGTGGTGTACACCTTTAATCCCAGCACTCAGGAGGCAAAGGCAGGCGGATCCCTGAGTTTGAGGACAGCCTGGTCTACAGAGCAAGCTCCAGGACAGTCAGGGCTATACAGAGACACTCTGTCTAAAAAACAAACAAACAAAAATTTATTATGGTTTGAATCTGAAGTGTCCCCCACAAGTCATGTCTTGAGTAACACTGTTTGGGGGTGCTGCAAAATCTTCGGGAAGTGAGCTGGCAGAAGCAGGTACCCCAGAACAGGCCTTTAAAGCTTATGACCCACTCCCTGGTTCTGGCTCCTTCCCTGTTTGAGAATCTGCCGTGTGGGGGCTCCTTGCTGGGTGGATCCCATCATGCCTCCTTGTCCTGCCGACAGTCTGAAGCAGTGAACCATGATGCACCCTCCCCTCCCCGCTTCTCTCGGGTATTTGGGTCACAGTGACACAAAAGTAACTAATACGCTCAGTTCTTCAGCGGTACGGTCTCCTTCCTGCGCCACTTGCCCCCCCATGTCTAGCGGGCACATAACTGGTACATGCACATACAGAGCATTTCCACTGTTCCGGTACGTTTCATAGGACAGTATTGCCCTGATTAAGTAGAAAACAGCTTTGGGCATATTAAGTTTATTTCTAAGATGAAGTAAAGATTTCAAAAAAAAATCTGACATGGTAACCCTTTGGGAGGTTCTAGGGGACAAGCACATGTGGGGCAGGTCCCCAGTGTCCACTCGGTCACTGTGTACTGCTGCCCCATTCTGTATTATTGAACTATGAAACTTAGTGAGTTTTCATGAAATCAACGATTGAATATTATTTTAAGGTGTGTTACCTTATTTTATGCTGTGGAACATTTGTTTAATGATGCAAAGATGTGCTGCATTCTTTTATGTTGCATTTGTTTACCTCTGTGAAGCTGTGCTACTGTGCTTGTCTAAAACACCTGATTGGTCTAATAAAGAGCTGAATGGCCAATAGCAAGGCAGGAGAAAGGATAGGCAGGCCTGGTAGGCAGAGAGAATAAAGAGGAGGAGAAATCTGGGAGACAAAAGATTGAGGAGCAAGAAAAGGAGGAGGACATCAGGGGCCAGCCATCCAGCTACACAGCAAGCCACAGAGTAAGAAGTAAAGAAAGGTATTCGGAAACAGAGAAAAATAAAAGTTCACAGACACAAAGTAAATAGGATAATTTAAGAAAAGCTGGTGAGAGGGGGCTGGAGAGATGGCTCAGAGGTTAAGAGCACTGACTGCTCTTCCAGAGGTCCTGAGTACAATTCCCAGCAACCACATGGTGGCTCACAACCATCCATAATGAAATCTGGTGCCCTCTTCTGGCCTGCAGGCATACATGGAGGCTGAACACTGTGTATATAATAAATAAATAAATAAATCTTAAAAGAAAGAAAGAAAGAAAGAAAAGCTGGTGAGAAACAAGCCAAGCTAAGGCCAGGCATTCATAAGTAAGAATAAGTTTCTGTGTGGTTTATTTGGAGGCTGGATGGCAGGCCCCCAAAAAGCAAAGGAAGAAAAAACAAGTCGATCTCTCTCCCCCCACATCTCTGTGTGTGTGTGTGTGTGTGTGTATGTGTGTGTGTGTGTGTACACTGAGATCAAACCGAGAGCATGACACACGCTGGGCAAGGGCTCCACACTTGAGCTGTGCTCCCAGCCCAGCAAGGAGCTTCAAACTTGTGTCATCCTCAGCAATCAGCCTCATGACAGCACACTAGACCTACTACATATTTCCTCCAACTATTCCGTGAAAATGGAAATAACCGTCCTAAACTGCACCGCATCTTCTGTAGCCCCCTCCCATATGTCCCCCTGGGTGAACATTCTACCGCTGCTTCCGCACAAGGAACCCGGGCCACCCTTCTTAGCCTGGTCATAACAGAAGCTGTGGCTGGGTAGCACTCGAGGAGTATGGAGACAATTTATCAAGAGGAAACTTTGGAGAAATCTGTCAGGGGCAGGAGACTGCTGGTTCAAGGGGCGGCGGAAGCTGGATCGGGCATGATGGGATGGGAGTCAGCCAAGGGTGGGTGTGGAGAAGGAAGCTCCAGGAGAGTTGAAAAGTTCAGTCAGAGACAAGAGATGAGGGACAGAGCCTGGACTGAGGGGATGGAGGATGGAAGGAAAAAGACAGAAAGTGGATGTGAAGTATAGGGACAGCATGGGATAGGAGCTGAGGGAGGATCCTGGGTAGAAGGCCCAAACTACCTGCCCAGAAGCCCTGGAAAGGGACAGAGCAAGCAGGCACGGTCTACCCAGCCACTGGCCTCACTTAAGCAGCTAGAACTGTGACCTGCATGGGCTTTCCATGCCCATGGGAGCATGGAATATGGACACAGGGATCCAGAACTGTCCCTGATTTGTTCCATGACTCCTTAGGCCTGTCATTTCTCTGACAACGACGACTCCAGCTCTTCTTGTGCGGACCAAACGCTACACTCCACTCTTTCCCCAACAGCCTTCCACCTTCTGCTTGGCTAGCATCCTGCAGGTCCTATCTTACTCTGTTCTCCCCTCCATTTTTTCCAAGGTTTGCTGGCCTCCCCGTGCTGCCCATCCCTTATCAACAATTGCTAAAGGTCAGCTTAGCTGTTTTTCCTTTGACCTTGATGAAGGCAAGTCCTATTGCCTTCACACACCCTCCCCATAATCTGGGGGCTCACAGTGAAAATGCTGGTGTTTCCTTACGTGGATGGGTGAATGGATTAATGAATGGATGGATGTCAAATGTGAGGTCTCGGGTGTGTCTAGAGAAAAGCTGGTGGAAGAGCGACCCAACAGGCCTGTCATTGTGTCCTTAGTGTCTTCCTCTCTGGGTGGGACTTGCTTGGCTACTGCATAATCCACAAAGCAGGCAACTGAGGCCTCACCCTGACAGCCCTAGACATCCCTAGAGAGATGCAAGGCTACAGAAGAACACAAGTTCAAGTCTTCAAGATGTCAAGCCTAGATAGAAGAAGACAAGTGCCCTGCAGGGTCCCTAGGACCACGGAAGGACGGGAAGCTCCTGGGACGCCTCGGAGTGGGTGAGAAACTCTGAGGATCACGAAACCAAAGAGGAACTGACTACTTTAGAAGAATGAACTTCAGCCACTGAAGACACACAAGCAAGAACTGGTTCTTTACGTGATGGAGATTAAGACACCTGATAAACAAGAAGAACCCAATCAGATGACCTCTTGGGTCCCTTCTAGTCTAGAACACCCAGTCAGCAGATAGACAACTGAGCTATCCTGAGAGAGTGGGACCAGACCCTTTGGGGAAACTGTCATTCGTCCTCTGAGTATTATGTGGGAAACACCTCTTGCATTGAGCTCTGTGGTCCACATCATCAGTCAGAAAGCCTTGGGAGTAGGATCAGAGCCCAGCAGAGCAGAGATACACACTTGACCCTAGACTCTAATGGTGCTTTTATTCCTGGCTCAAGGTCAGACAGTGTGGAGGCTTCGGAATACATCAGCCCTCCCAACAGGCAGGACAGCCGGAACAGAAAGCAGCTTTGTTAAATGTTTTGGCAAGGCCAGGTCGTTGAAGTCAAATGGGTTTCTTTGCAGCAGAACTTTTCCGGATCTCAGATACTGGAGCACATTATGGAAGCCCTGCATTGTTCCCTCTCAGAAAAGAGTTTCCTCCGTTGCTCTCAAGAAAAGAGGAGCGTGCAACGAGGAGGACTTTGAGGGGGGCTGAAATGGGAGCAAATGTGGACTATCATCTGTAAGAAGAATCTTGGGGTTCTTGGGAAGGAAGAAGGCTGGGGGAGATGGTGGGAGCTTTCAGGATCCTGCAGGACTGGAATGAGAGCAGAGGACCTGGGGATCTGGGTCTGGAGTCTGTGGTCAAGGGGCTGAAAGAGATGAGGGTCAGGACAAGCTGGGGCGTTGAGTAGTCCTAGGTTCTGTGGTAAAGGCTGTAAAGGACTAGGGTGAGGACCGGCTGGGGCGCTGGGTTCAATGGGGACACCACACTGGAGACAGGTTCCAAGTGTCTGCAGCCAGGACAAAGCCTTCAGACTAACCTGTTGCTATCCTCCTGTGCCCGGCGCCTCCTCGCTTGGCTTGAGTGGCAGGGGCTTGAATTAACCCACCTATCCTGTTTCCACTTTCGGGGAGTCCCGAGCCTGGCCCTGCAGTCTTGGGGCACCCTCACCTCCACCAGCGGGTAGGCGATCTCATTGTAGATCTGCTCGGTGAAGTGGTCCATGTAGTAGGCGCCGTCGAAGGTGAACTGCTTCGGGGGCTCGTCAGCCGCTCCCGGGTTCTGAATGAAGCATTGGCCGCGCGCGCAGTCCACAGTCACCACCGACTGGCAGCTCAGTTCGCGCTCGCGCTGGTTCATGGGCCGGCAACGGACCACCACTTTCACCGACTCCGAAGCCATCGCGCCCCGCGAACCCCGGGGGCGTGAGCCAGTCCAGGGGGTGGAGCCAGAGCCCTCGTGGGGCGGGGCCTGACGGCAGGGGCGGGGCCGCAGCCGGGGGCCGGGACTCCGCGCGAGGCGCCCTGCCAGCGCGACCTGAGCGGCCTGTCGGTG